GGCGGGGACAGAACTCATACTGAAGTGGCTTTAGCTTCTCAGTGCTGTATTTTAACTTGCTGCGCCACCAGGGAGGGCCCGACGCTGGTTTTTTAAGTGAACAGGCAGATGGGAAAGAGACAAGAAAGAAAACCATTCCAGCCAAAAGGATGTTGAAGACACAACAGTTAAGTAAGGTTCTAGTGTGTTATGATAAACATTTTAGGAAGACAAAATCAGACGTGCCTAAGCCAAAAATTGTCACTGTCAGTCCTTACTTGTAAGAGACAGCAAAACAAGGGTAGTTATCACAAGAATTTTATATTAAGAGCTGACCACACTTGCACTTCTGGTGTACCACAGCTTCTCACGCCACAGGGCATTAACCGAACTCCCAGCATCTGCTGTTAGAGTAACTCAGAGTGTAGGAAAAGATGACAATGAATGAAACCATGTTATAAGAAGGAATATTAAAAGGACCAGAACAGGAGCCCTCTCCAGTGGCACAATGGGTTAACGCACAGACAGTGAAGCTATCTGCAGCCACTGCAGCATGAGTTCGATCCCCAGGCAAGGAGCTGACCCACATGGTGCAGCAGACCTTGCCTGACCTGCCCGCTGCTCCCTTCAGCAGTGTACCTCATCAGACAACCTGTTCTGCTCCCCACTCTGTCTCTGGTGACTCCTCTCACCCCCTGCTTCTCTGTACCCTTGTTCTTGTATGCATAAATAAATAAATCTTTTTTTAAAGAACCAGAACATTTCTCCTGTAGATGTTTTCAAATAATTGAAAGGCAATAGTGTAGGTTACTTCTGCCAGAGGTTATGGTCATGGCTAACACTGGAGAGTACCATTTTATTTCAAAACAAGGAAGACCTTTCCCACATCTGAGAGCCTAGGATGCCCCAGTAGCATCACCAACCTTGGAAAATAATAATAATTGGGCTTAAGTTCGAAACTCTCATTATTGACAAACACAACATGAGATGACAAGGAATGTAGCTGCCTGCAAGGCCACACTGGTCTCACTGCGCTGGCCCACTGACTGCCAACATGGCCCTGGACTGGTCAGCCTGTGCCTGGAGGACCATGGACAGTTCCCAGCTGGCCATTTTTTAAAAGAGGGACACTGGGAAGATAGAATGGGGTCAGAATAGTGTGCGAAGGTTAGACCCATCAGGAAAGTATTTATGTAATCATGTTATTTTAAACGCTGCTGCAATTGATTTTAAATTTGTAGACTGAAACTAAAGTATTGAAGACTTTATTATAGTTACAGAAAAAAAGTGAATGTTATAGACTCTGATAGTGTAAATAAATAATATGATAATGTATTATAGAGTAATAGTAAAATGCAGGAAAGTAGAAAGGGGGAGTACAAAGTAGAAGTCTTTACGTTCCTCAGGTTTCATAGCAGAAAGTCAAAAAATATTGCTCAGATTGGTGAATTATTTTAAAATCTTAAAGGTAACTATTAGAAGTCAAAATAATAGTGTAAAACTTAAACTCAAAGTAGAGGAACAGGGCCCTCCCTGGTGGCGCAGCGGGTTAAAGCACAGCACTGAGAAGCTAAAGCCACTGCAGCATGAGTTCAATCCCCAGCCCCAGAGGTGACCTACATGGTGCGGCAGACCTCTACTGACCCGCCCGCTGCTCCCCTCAGCAGTGGACTTCGTCAGTTGGCCTGTTCTGCTCCCAACTCTGTCTCTAGTGAAGCCTCTCGCCGCCCCTGCACCTCTGGCTTATACCCCAGAGCTGTATGCATAAATAAATAAATAAATCTTTTTAAAAAAATGTAGAAGAACAGTGGGTTTCAAATTTTACTTCTATGTGTGTGTGTGAGAGAGAGATGTGTGTGTGTATTATATATACTACACATATGTACTCACTTATATATTGTTTTAGTATCTGTTTTCACTTCCATCCTCATGTAAGAAAAATTTGATAGATCTAGGCTGTTTGTCCAGAAAAAAACTCAGAAATCCATGACATACGTCTCCACATGCTTGAAGACTGGCCATACAAAGGATTTCCACTATTTGTGAAGCTTCACTAAGCTGGAGCCAGGATGAGGGTGTGAACTATAAAGTCTGCTCCTGACTCGCTATAAGAACTGCCCGGCCACGAGAGCCACGCAGGGAAGAGCACTCACTATGGTGAGTCCCCTGGCTCGGGAGGAGCTCGAGGGAAGGCTGGACGTCAGTGGGGCAGGGACACCTTATGGTAAGTCTCAGCCAGACGACCTAGACTAAAAGACGTCCAGGTGATGCCCCAAAATGTGACTCCAGCATTGTGAAGAGCTCTTCCATTTCTCTAGGAATTTATGCTGCCCAGTGAGTCCGCATTTCCAGGAAGTCTTCTGTGTGCCTGTGTTCTCATGCTATGCGTCTGTGAGGTTTGCATCCTTCAGTAAAAGCAGGTGACTAAAAAAATTCGTGTGATTGTGAGGGCAGATCCTTAAATTGTTTCATAGACTAGAAACTGAGGTTCATAGAGAGATCAAGTCCCGGGCCTCCTATCACACAGTCAACTGATTGTAGAGTCAGAACAATAACCTTACCTCTTAGTCCCTCTGCGCATTTGTGTCTCTGTTCTTCCCTCTTATGGTCACTAATGCAAGAGAAACCAAGAGAGCAGAAGACACACCCTCTAAGGCGAGGCCTGCTTGTCTCCAAATCAACTTTCAGTTGCAGCCAACAGAATCAAGGAAAATGCGAACAGTGTGAAAGGCAAGAATCGTGTGAAATCCAGTATGTGCGCGTGACTTCTGATCCACTGATTTGGACTGGTGATACCTGTAGGAAATGTGTGTGACTTGTGTAAGGAAGGGCTGACTTCTCTCTTGGGTTATTTCAGGAAAACCAAGAGAAAGGGCACTCACTGGTCATTGATGGGTGTCAAAACATATGGAAATATCAACTCTTAAAGATTTTGGAGTAATTTATTTTCCATCAGTATAATAAATTGCCTGGGAAATTTTCCCAAACTTTTATTTGGGAAATTTTCATAAATTTAAATAAGCTTATTCATTTAATTACTAAGTTAAGCAATAAGTTAGCTAAGTTAATTTTCCTTTACTTAGAGTCACTAAGAAAATTAGAGAAGCTAGGTCTGGGAAAATAAGAGTGTGGCTACCTGCAGCGATCCCTGTGAATTTCATGAAGCAAGTACTTTCCTCCTTTTTAGTAAGTTTCTATCTAATTTTCAGGCCTGGATAACTTGTCGTTGAATTGAGGACTCTGCAGGCTCACACACGTGAAAGCCAAGAGGGCCCGTTTCTGGCCATGTGGATTCGCCACAGACTGCCGAGTGTCCTTGCCTCTTGCAGCTGGTCTCCACAAAAGCAATGTCTCAGAGTGCACCCAGGACCGGAATCCCAGTGTTTCTATACCCCCATCTCAAATGCGGCCTCCACACGTCTGACACAGTCTGCTCACTGGGGAGACTCACTGAGTCTCACACCAGGGGACAGGGAGGAGGAATCAAACGTTCAGGGTTGAGTACCATAAAACTACATGGACTTGAAAACCACCACCCACGAGATTGTGGTGCGACAACCTACTTGAAAGTGATTCTGCAGCTAGGAGACTGTGTGTGTGTGTGTGTGTGTGTGTGTGTGTGTGTGTGTCAAATACAAAACCAAGGAAAGCAAAAGCCTAACAATTTGTCACCTACGTGGATGATAGGTGTTTTTTGCACTCTTTTGCCTTTTTTAGATATTTGAATATTTTTATAAAAAGTGTTGGAGAGGACCCTCCCTGGTGATGCAGTGGGTTAAAGCACAGCACTATGACGCTTACAGCAGCTGCTTCCGCTGGAGTTCGATCCCAGCCAGGGAGCTGACCCACATGGCACGGCAGACCTCTCCTGTCTCTCCACAACTCCCCTCAGCAGTATATTTCAGTGGATCTGCCTCTTCTGCTCCCCACTCTGTCTCTGATGAATCCCCTCACCCACCTCTTCATGCCTCTGGCCTGTGCCCCAGTGCTTGTATGCATTAAAAAAATTAATATTTTTTTAAAGTGTTGGAGAGGGCCTTCCCTGGTGGTGCAGTGGGTTAAGACAAAGCATTGCAAGCTATCCGTCAGCCACTTCAGTGAGGGTTCTATCCCCACCCCGGAGGAGACCCACAAGGCACAGCAGACCTCTCCTGACCGGCCCACTACTCCCCTCAGCAGTGTACTTCGTGGATCTGCCTGTTCTGCTCCCCACTCTGTCTCTGGTGAAGCCTCACACCGCCCCTGCTCTTCTGGCCTGTACCCCAGTTCTGTATGCACAAATAAATAAATATTTAAAAAAAAAACTATCAGCTATTTGAAATGATCAAACCCCTGGTATAGATAAACGTTTAGAATTAAGAATCACTCTCTTTCAACTGTATCTCTCAAAATTATAATCCCCTTAGCCTTTGAACCAGACAGTCTGTTTCTAGGTTCTGTCTTCTGATACATTCTCACACATGAGAAATCATTAATACAAGATTTATATAGCAGCCTTTTTACAGTTTGTGTTAAAAGTAAATAAATGAATATATACATATACATGTACAGAATGTTTCTAGAAGGGTATATATGAAATTAATAACAGGGGTGTCCTCTGAGGAGAACCGCTGAGTGTTAGCACAAAAGAGGTAGGGAAGGACTTCACCATGTACCTCTGTGTCCATTCAGAAATCTGTAGCTTGGGACTGTATCACCTGCGTGCTAAAAAATGACTTTTTACATTTTAAAAATCTTTGTGGTTTAACTAAAATAACAAATATTCTCTACAGAGTCTTTACTTTGTGGTGCGTATCTCTATTTTTAATTAGAAAATTATTTTAAAATATATCAAAATACCTGCTCAGGTCCCTGAGTCCTGTGCTGCCCCTCCCCCTCCCGGTTGCCCCTCAGCTCGCTGCCCCTCCCCCATGGCCCCTCCCCCTCCAGGGAGCAGCCCGTGGAGACGACAGTGAGGTTCCTGTGCTGCTCCACACCCAGTTCTGCTGTTCTGCCTCATAAGCTGCACACACACACTGCACCTGCTTCAGCTTCTCGTTCTCTCCAAGACAGGAGGCAGCTGTTTTCTGCTCTCTGCTTGCTTCGGAAACCAGCCTCATGATCGTTTCTCTGCTAGCTTTTGCTTCCATCTCATGGACATTTACAGTCTCTTCAAGAGTAGCAATTTGTCCTTTCATGGCTGCATTTTCCTTACACAGCTCTCGAAGCTGGCGAGAAAGCAATGACAGCAAACCCATAAAAATTAAGTTTCAGCCCAAGAGCGCTAAGGAACGCTCCATCTATAAACAGCCAGCGACTATTACCCTACGAAAACAGTGAAAACACGGTCCCGCCCCCAAGTCCAAAAGATCCCCTTCTCAAAGGCTGCCCCTAGCTCTGTTCTGTGCACATGAAAACTAGTAAAAATACCTTCGTGCCAACCTCAAGAGGGTCCAGTCAAAAGTTGCAGAGCTGGGCAAGTATCAGCAAACCCCCCTCACTCCACTCCCCACCCCCATAACCTCTGCAGCCAGGAGAGGGGGGTCATCTCAGCCCTGCCTGCTTGCACTAACCATCTCCCAGGCGCTATCTGTTGAGGGGGGCAGGAAGCAGTGACCACTGAGAAGACGGGGCTCCCTTTCCCTTCGGAAAATGAAATGCTCCCAGTTAACACAAGCAAAACCCTCGGTGCCCGGCTCACGTGTGGCTCTCTGGAGTTGGCAGGGGGTTCTCTCTCTGCATCTGCGTCTGCATCTGCGTTGATAACTGGGGTCCTAGAGATGATGTGTAACAGCTCTGAGAAGGAAACTAAAGCCTGAGGCCTCCTGAGCCCAGAGAACTGGCCATTCAGGGACAACCACTCTGAGGACCCCAGGATACCCCGAGGCGCCCCAAGGGCCACGCGGAGTCAGCGCCTGTACTGGGGCTGTCTGGAAAAGTGACAGATGTTCCAAGCTCAGCAATTCGCCAGCCAGGACCCCGGCCCCCCACCCCCATCAATGACCTCACGCTAGCACCCTCAGTTGGCCACAGCCTTCAACTCCCCACCCAGGGGACCACGCAGGGGGCGTTGACGGAAACTAGCTCCCCACTCCCTCTCACTCTGTCCCGGATTCGATTTTCTTCACTACACCTTTTATTCCTACATGGGACCACAATGGGTATTTGGTTATTTCCTCATGATCTTTCCCCCCCAAAAATGAAAGTTCTAGAAGAGCAGAGTTGGTCTTATCTTGTTCACGGCTAGATCCCCGCGCCCCCACCCCTCCCAGAACAGTGTCCAGCAGACAGGAATCACTAAATACCCACGAAGGGGGTGACTCAGTGGCCGTAAGTTCCTAGGAAGCCTCCTTTCCATTGGGGTTGCCAGGGAAGGTGTGTGCCTGTGTGTAGGAAAAATGAGGGGTGCTTTGGGCTACAGCAGAGGCCTCCTTCTTCTCAGAGGACGCCTAGCAGGTCTGTTCCAGAATAGCAGCTGTCCTGCCTTTGGCCCATGGTTGTTTTTTTTTTTAAGATTTATTATTTATGCCTACAGAACTGGGGTACAGGTCAGAGGTGCAGGGGCGGCGAGAGGCTTCACCAGAGGCAGAGCAGGGAGCAGAACAGGCAGATTGTCGAAGTACACTGCTGAGGGGAGCAGCGGGCAGTCAGGAGAGGTCTGCCACGCCATGTGGTCACCTCTGGGGCAGGCAGGAATCGAACTCATGCAGAAGCGGCTTTAGCTTCTCAGTGCTGTGCATTAACCCGCTGGGCCACCAGGGCCTTAAAGACCTGCTCACTCAGGTGATCCAATAGCTAAAGGCTTAGGGCTCTAGTGTCTGTTTTCAAATACAGATTCTTTTACTCTTCTGGTGCCCTGAGAACCACATATCAGGAGGCAACTGTCCTTGAAAAGGTTGCCTGCTCCTCACAGTGCCCCAGGGGAGGGGGCATGGCCACCTGGGGAAGCCCCAGGGCTGGTCAGGGGGCAGAGGGCAGCAGGACAAGGTGTGCTTTCCACAGAAAGGAAAGGGTGAGGCCAGGTCAGCGGGACTGGATTGGCACGCTTGAGTAGTTCCGTTAATAGAACATTAATGGAAGAGACAGAATAAAAGACACAGCCACCTTCCTCCCTGAGGAGCAGCAAAGAGCCACCGGAGGGTCAAGGCGGCACCCAGAGAGGCACCACAGCCGTTTGGACGAGCAGAGTCAAGGAGCACTTCAGCGGTCCTCTGGTCACCTCCTGGTAAGGGCTTCCATGAACAGTAGCCAGCAGAACAGTCGTGTTTGTCCAGCAGATATGATGCCTGTTTACGCCCCCAGAATTTTCAATGGCTTTTTCAAAGTTCTGGTCCTTCGAAAAAAGGACCTGCCCGGAGTGGGGAGCTGGACATTGGACCAGCGTGGCAGGACCCAGTAGAAGGGGCTGCAGTGTGGCCCTGGGGTGGTGGGTTTGCAGAGGAAAGCAACTCTCCCCGGCATCACTGACTACCTCCAGGGATTAATTAGCTCATCCTGGACACAGCCACCCCCCTCGGTTAGTCAGGCTCCCATGTGAGAGAGTTAGAAAAACAGAAAATAAAAAGGCCTGATGAATAAGAGTATCTATACCCAGTTGAGCACCCAGAGACCACCTCTGACATGGACAGAGGGTGCCCTGGAAGAAGGAGCTTCTTGAGTTCCTCTTCTTTTCCTTGGGCTTTAAAGACAACCCCCAACTACACTGGAAAGCGGAACTTTCCAGCCAGGCTCCTGGTCATATTAGCCACAGAGAGAACCAGGAGATGCACCCAGCATCCTCCAGAGATTCGGGCTGAGACTGGTCTGAGCAACCAAAGCCCATCAGTGAAGTGGAACTTCCAGAAGTAAAATGAAGTCATTCTGCAGCTTTCAGTGAGTACTCCGGGCTAACTCAGTGGGGAAGTGGCTTTTAAGTTTGGTGGCAACGAGTTTCATCCCCGGTCAGGGAGTGACCCACATGGCGCAGCAGACCTCTCCTGTCTCCCTACTGCTCCCCTCAGCAGTGTATTTCAGTCAATCTGTCTGTTCTGCTCCCCACTCTGTCTCTGGGCAATCCTGTTATTCCTCACACATCTGGCTTACAACCCAGTACTTGTATGCATAAATAAATGTAAAAAATAAATATTTTTTAAAATTGGCAGCAAAGAAGCCTGTCAGGAAGCAAGATACAAAGGCTTATAGTGAGCAAAGATATGGGGTGTTCTCAAAGGCTTTTGGGTGCCACAGTGAATCCCTAGGAACCAAGCGATTATTCAGATGATGTCAATAATTTCCATCTTAGAGGCATTGAGGATTTTCATTATTTGGTTTCAGTGTAAAAATTAAAAAGTGTATTGAACTTATCCTGACCTTACACTTAACAAAAAGCCCAAAAAGGACACAGAGTTGGTATTTGTCTCTGTCTATCTGTGTGTTTCTCTCTGTAAAAATCTTCCTAAAGCACATTATTAAATGAATAATTAAATGAAAACCTAAATATATGTTGGATAAAATAGTGAGGCTCTTCTAGAGAATAATTCATCCCAAATAATGCTAAAAAGGATCTTGGCACACAGTTTGAGAAGGATCATAGGGTGGTCCCAGGTCACACCATCAACTAACACCACCCAGAGGAGCGGCCCCATTGTCCGGCCACCTCCAAACCCAGTCTCGAAGCTTCCACGGCACAAGCTGAGTGAGCACTGCATTTAGTCTTTCTCATCTGCACACAAATACCTTTAAAATCAAATCTTCATCTGAGGCCTCATCATTCTTCTTATCTGCATCTAAGCCGTCTCGAAGTTGAGCTAGAAATTCCTCATGCTTCCTGCAGTTCTTTGAGATTTGATTCTTAGTCTCCTCATTTTCTGATAAACACTTCCTATCAGGCAAATAATAAATAAGGCAAATGTTAGCCCCACAGAAGCTTAGGCACAGAGCACATTACTATCGAGCAAGCCCCATAAAGAAAAGAGAAAAGGGGAGGTATTTCTGAAGCACCCACACTTCAGAGAAATGTGAGAAATCTTCCTGATAACCTACATCTAGAAGGCAAGGGAGACAGACTCCTGGCTCCTGTCCTGGATCTTTTAGGATCTGCAGGGGTGGCAGGTATGCCTCACACGCCTGTGGGACTCTGTGGGAACTTGGAGAGAAAGATGAACTGCCACTCTGGCTCTCGGGCCCACATTCGATTTCTTTTCAGACATTGTACAGTGGCCTGTAAATGTTAGTTAAGACATTGACAGGTTCATAGACAGAAAGAGCTATAATAAAAATACATCGAGAGTAGGGGATGTTCCCACCTCTGGAAAAAAGAGGTGTTCAAGCAGCAAAAATCATTACGGTAGGGCCTCCCTGGTGGCACAAGGGATTAAAGTGCAGCACTGTAAAGCTATCGAGTTCAATCCCCCGCCAGGGAACTGACCCACATGGCGCAGCTGACCTCTCCTGCCTGCCCACTGCTCCCCTCAACAGTGTATTTCAGTAGATCTGCCTGTTCTATTCCCCACTTGGTCTCTGGGGAATCTTCTCTCCCCCCCACACCTCTGGCCTGTACCCCAGTTCTTGTATGCATCAATAAATAAATCTTTATAAAAATCATTACTGACTTCATAGGAGCATTGGAAAGGACCTGTTAAGGGAAATCAGTAGTAGATTTATGCTCTGCTACAAATATTTTATTTCAAATCTTGGAAAGGTTTGCTAAAATAGCAAGGTTTATTTCTAATGTTTTAAAGGTTGGAGATTAAGAGATCATCAAAAAATAGACATACTTTAACGACAAATTAGAATCATTTCAGTAATTTAGTATCATTTTGTCGGTACCTTAGATAATAAACATGATTATTGGTTTCCCTTTTAACCATGTTGAGTGTTTACTGCAAATTCTTTCACTCCATTCAATCATTAACAAAGCATGTAATTGCATATACTCCAAATCACATCATATTTCTATTTAGAAAAATGTATAACAATAAAATACCAACATCAATATACTGCTATGTTCTTATTTTCAGCATATGGAGGTAATATTCATTCAGTCTCTGAACAGCACAGTCACTGTGCTATGTCACTGATTGATTTATGTATATATTCCATACATTAACCCAAAATTCCAGTCTCACTTCTTCATTCCAATGCTCTCTAAATTACTTCCACTTCTACTTGATTTTCCCTTTGGCCCACTAACATTCAAGGAGTTTACCCTAAGGAAACAATTTCACATAAGTTGAAATATGTGAAAATATGAGTGTGGTTGGGTATAACTACAGCTTGGCTTGTAATGTTTTTTTAGCAAACTAACCTATAGGAAACTGCATAGGGAACTAGTTAATATATCACACGGGAACATCATGGATCATTAAAAATGATGGTGAATGATATTATTAAAAATAAATAAATAAATACATAAATGATGGTGAATGACTTTCAAAAATTCCTTCAGTGAAATAGTTTATTACCTCATATGATGGGTGTTCAACTATCTAAAAATCTATTCAACATAATGCTAACTGTAGCTTTTCTAAAATCAAATGGTTTTGAATTTTTTTAATTTTTTTGGCATTTTCTTATATTTTTAAAAAACTTTTTATAGGTACATATCATTTTATTACTCATATACTCACTTATTTAATAAATATTAATTGGGCACTTACTTTGTACCAGACCCTATTAATGGCAATAAAAAATATGTAAATCATAGAATAATTGAATAATAAAAAAATTTGTTCATGGGACTTACATTCTAATGTAAATAATCATAAAATAATTAAATAATAAAAATGAGAACCTTGTTTCATGGGACTTAGGCTTTAACTGAAAAGATGAATAATAATAAATTATTCATGTATGCAAGGTAAGCAGTATGTTATAAAAGGGCTGGAAATACAGGCTAAAACCATAATGAAATCTCACCTCACAGGCATGAAATGGAACATATTCCAAAAAACACCAACAAATGCTGGGGAATATTCAGAGAAGACCTCTACTGCCCTCTTCACAGGAATATAAACTGGTCCAACCATTCTGGAAGGTGATCTAGGTTTATCCTAAAACTCTCAAAATGGAAATACCAGCAACCCCACTCCAGGGATCATCCATTGAACATGAAACCATCCAGTAAAAAAATCCTGTGCTGTGCAATGTTTATTGCAGCATTATTTACAGTAATTAGGACAAGGAAAAAATCGGATACCCATTCATTAAAGATTGATTAAGAAGAAAAAAAATTCAAGACTCCAAAGATCGAAGGTCAATAATTATTTTTTTCAATTGTGTTTTATGGTCAAATAATGCCAAATGCTGGTGCAGATATAGGTGCGTCCTGCCAGCAGAAAGAAGCTAGGCTTCGGTCACTAACTCCCCTGAGAGACATATTGAATTGGCCTTACTGTAACTTCTCATAGAGTTCAACAACTTTCTTCTTCAAGTCCTGGTTCTCCTTGATTGCATTATGAGCTGTGATTTCTGTTCTGATTTTCGAAGTAGAAAGTGTTGCCGACTCTTCTTCTAGCTCCTGAACTCTGTCTCTCAAGGAGGTGAGGAGAGACGACTTTCTGGCATTATTTTCTTTGTAGTTCTCCATTTCCGCTTTCAGCTCTTGGAAGGAAACTTCTTTAGAAAGCATCTTGGATCGGAGGTCTCGAAGCTAACATGGAAAAAGAAGAAAAGGATTCTAGGTTTGAAGTCCCTTTAAAAAACCTTAAATCATAATTTCAAATTTCACTTTTTGATTGATAACTTAACCCAGTTTTACTCCCCTTTTTTCATATTTGTATTATTACCAGATGGAAAATAATGCCTAAAGAACGAATTTCATATTCTTTTTCAAAGTCACCGAGCATGGTCTTGTAGGGATAATCTCACTCAAAAGATTTGTGGAGTATTTGCAAAAAGCAATGAAGTATTTTGTAATGGCAACCCAGTTTTCTATATCCATATTGCTGTTGACTAATGATAAAGCAAGAAACCTACAAACTATGCTTTTTGTAATTTCATGACCACACGGCTTCCCAAGTAAACCAGGCAGCTCACTATGTCGCTGTATGTCTCCCACTTGTTTTCTAGCTACTTTTATGCACAATAAAAAAAAAATCAGGCCCTCCCTGGTGGCGCAGCAGGCTAAAGCACAGCACTGAGAATCTGAAGCCGCTTCCGCATGAGTTCGA